TTACCGTTTTATGACTTAGTACATAACTCTGGACAGCTAACAATTAAAACAGACTAAAAACATTTTAAAAAACCAAAATTAAAAACAACAGAAATAGCATAAAATAGCAGCCGAAAACACTCATAACACTCAAACTAACCACAAAATGGGCTCACCCATACTATCAGGGCCCCAGACTTGATGGCAAAGCCAGATTTTTACTGCCTTACAAAAATCTTGATTTCTAGAGTGGATGATGTTCCAAAAGGCAGGTGCCATGGACTCTCCTCCTCACAGTCTCTCCTCACTGCCTCACAAATGGGATGCAGAGCATGCCCCTCCTGCCGGATCTAACAGGATAGCTAGACACCACTGGGGAGAGATGGTCACATAAGTAGCCCAGCCCCAAGCCATGAAGGGCTTTTAAGGTAACCACTGCACCTTGAATTGCACCTGGAAGCATACTGGTAGACAACACTCACACAGCTCGCACAGCAGAGGTGTCACATGTGCCAAATGACCAGCATCCATAACTGCCCACTCTGTTTAAAGTGCATTTTATAACCAGCTGAAGCTTCCAAATACTCTTCAAGGGCAGCCCCATGTAGAGTGTGTTGCAGTAATTCAATTGAGAGGTGACTAGGGCATGAGTGACTGTGAGCCCAGCTATAAAATGGATGTCACAAACCTTTGATATGGTCCCTTAAGCCTCTAATTGGGTATGAGTCACTTTTAAAGCTGATAAAATTGCACTCAGCCTCATTTCTCCTTATCTTGATTTTTTCATATTATATATCAGATATAGACTGCAGACTCTTAGGAGCCATGGACCTATGATGCTTATATAACTATAAGACCCCAGATATGCTGATGGTACTACATCCACAGGTAAACCTTGCCATATTAAACAATGATTTGTTGTTTTTTTAAGGCAAGATAAAAGAAAGAAAAAAAAGTTTATTCCATTTAATACTTATAAGACTCTCATGACACTTAAAAATAATGTACTGGACTAAATCAGCCCAGCACTAAACAAAGTCAATTGTACATAGAAAATTAATCACAGATCATCCTGTAATGATGAAACAGCTTCAAACTTTACAACAATTATAGCAAGGGATAAAATTTGGTAGATTGCTCAAGGAAAAACTACAGGAGTTCAAGATATAAACTGGAAAAATACAGGGCTGATTAGCAGCTGATCACTTGTGTTTTTCCGAGCAATTTTTAAAACTAAAGCAAAACCATTTGAAAGAAAACTTCTACATAGATTCTCTCCCCCCCTCCCCACTTAAACATCCACAAATGCTTAATTGAAATGAAGGAACTTGTTGGTTCTTCACTATAAGCCATTCATTTCTTACAACATCTCAATTTTAACGGCTATTCTATTTGTCTCCCTCATTCTCCGTTACCAAAGTTTATTCATGGGAATGTACCTTTAAGACTTCTCCAGGCACAGATGGTGGTGACTGGAAATGAACTGGGGTGTTGATGGCTGGGGTTGGAGCCATTGGCATTTGCTGCTGTTGCTGCATGTAATGCATCATTGTCTGCTGCTGCATGCGCTCCCGTTGTTCCTCCTGTTGTACTTGTTCTCGCATAAGCTGCATCCGTAAGCCAATGCGAGATGCCATGGCTGATATTTGTGATCTGTCAAAGCTTACTAGGGGATACCTAAAACCCTAAGAAGAAAATAGAAGGGTTGAGGCTCATGGATTTAGCATTAAAGGCTAGCCTTTGATCACTTGCACCAGTTATTAAAATTGATCCAACAGCAGCAGATCTCTCGACGTTAACCTCATTCTATACTCAGTCCATTAGAATAGATGACTTGCAACCTGTTGTTTTGCACACCTTTTTTTACATTTAGTTCAGCCTTCCCAGCTCTGGATGTGTTGGATCTCCAGTTCCCTGAACTCTCAATTAGCAAGATGGAAGTTGGAGTTGCAATATATCTGCATGATGTTGCTTTTGAAATTGACATAAACTATCCACCACAAATTACGATTTGTTTTCATCAATATTTCCCAAATGTTAAAAAACAAAAACACTTTTGTTCATTTTCTCACTTTCCTAAACCTTCATTGCATCAATTTTCAAATTAAGGGAAAAAAGGCAAAACAGAAATATGTATGAAAATATGTACATATGCTTGATCATATGCTTTTTGTATTTATTTCTCAAGCGTGTAGTTTTTAGCAAGTGATTGTTCATTAATATTTGTGTGAGGTTTTGTGCATATTTTCCCAAAATATACATATTCCTGTGTGTACTTTTTGAGTTACAAGCAGCATCATAAAAATCTAAAAAGTGCAAATGCTGGTACAGAAATGACTCCCAGTTCACAAGCAGCTTTGAAAGGGCACATTTCTATAAATAATGTATTTCAAATTTCTCCTCCAGCCCAAAGACTGGTTCAGTTTTATGACAGCATGATAACTTGCTTTTCTTTTTCTTTTTGCTTTTTTAAGTACACATACTTTTCATTTATTATTATTTTTGTTCTCCTCTTAAGAAATCATACTTATTTGTCAGATTTATAACTACCTTTTGTTAAAGAGTTCAAGACAGTGTACCTTCCTCCTTCCATTTTTTCCCCACAACAACAATTCTATGAAGTAGGTTGGGCTGGAAGAGAGTGAGTGGCCCAAAGTCACCCAGGGAATTTCTATGACTAAGAGTGGACTTGAACCTTTGTCTCTCGGCTGCTAATCCAACACCCCAAAGACTATAACCTTTTCTTAATTACTTACTTTCATTTTAAAAGGAAGGGGAAAAAAGAATTTCAGACCAAAGTTAAGTAACAATCTTACTTCCCTCTATAGTAATGTTTGTCATGTAGGGAATAAAACTCCCTGCCCATTTTCTGTTTCTATATCATCTCTGGGCAGGTGACAAAAAGCTCTGGCACGTGATAAAATGGAATTCAAGAGGCCCATGAAAAAAGAAGAACATGATATATTTGGAAATTCTTTTTAAAAGGTCTAGAAAGGGTAGATGACCTAGAACAAGTTGCTGATTATCTCCTTCCTGAAAGTTTGCCTCATATTGTAGTGAGTGTTTTGGCTATCAAATAACATACTTCAGAGTTATGATGGTTAAATTAAACATTTAAAAAGTCTAGATTGTTATGCTCCTATTAACAGATGAGTGACAGAGGATGAGAATCAGTGGCTTAGCAAGTTCACAAGAGAGATGGCATTGGAGCTAGGAACTGTTCTTTCTTATGCCTTTTCTACACACATAATTTTCAGATGCCCGTGCCTAACATTAATTTCTAGCATTTAAGGTAAGCAGTTGGATTTCTTGCCATTCAGGGTACATCCCATGAGTCTTCTAATTGTGCTAAACCGTCATATGCCTTGCACCAATCTTTCCCACACCAATGCTCTCTGATGCAATGGTTTACTCTCTTACTCTCTCTTACTCTCAACCTGCATGGCCATTTCTTGTACTGGCCTGAGAAAGTGTTTGGAGAATGTCGGGTCAGGGAAGTCGGGCTTAAGATTTAGGTATGGCAGTAATAATTTGTAGTAGGAAAATTCTTACAGTGAATAAGCTTCCTCATGGATTTTTCAGACCTGTTCAGCACTTCTAAGAATGAATGCAGCTGCTTATTTGGATTCCTAAATATGCATGCAAGAGTTTACACCCGGGTGGTGAAGCTGATGTCCTTAAAGTGCCTCAACTCTTTCACAAGCTGCCTTCTTCAGTCATGAAGTGTGAAGCGCTTACAAACCCTATCTGGGGAGATTAAGCTGTCATATTTCTTGCTGTCATAACACAGGCAATACATAGCAACTGCCATGCAAAAGGATAAAGAGTTTGTTCACAGGCTGAACAACCTTGTTCAGAAATTGCAAGAGAAAGAAAATGTCCTTTACTGCATAATAAAAGACTCCAGAAAACTATCCCAAATCACTTTTAGGGCACCTTTCTTGTCCATTATTTTCTGCCTACAACCCAACATCTCGCAAAATAATTAAGGCATACAGAAGACTACCTGAATGAGAGCATTTCAAGATTCTAAACCAATGCCCAATTCTTTGTGTTGACAAAAACTTCAAGGGATATAAAATGGCCAATATTATGTCTTATAGTATAACCACTCTTGGAATTCCATATGCTATATTAATCATTGTCCTTAAAAATGGTGCTGTATACATAATTGGAAAAGATGGAGAAAAAGGGCTACACAAACAATCAAAGGCAAGAGTAGCTCCCCATAAGGAAAGGTTACAGTGGGACTTTTCAGCTTAAAAAACAATAAGATGAGAGAAATTATAGAATGCATAACATTTTCTTTGGTATGGAAAAAAAGCTTTTTCCCCCCCTCTCTCACAATGACTTATGACCATTATCTCAGGAATGGCTCTAATTGATAGGAGATTCAGAATACTTTATTATTTATTTATTTATTTTTATTTAATTTGATTTGGAGGCTACTCAACTCCTTAACAACTCTGGGCAGCTTACAATTAAAAGAGAAAAAAACAACATATTAGAAGAAACTACAGCCAACCAGAAAGCTAGCTCAATACCAAAAGAACCAAAACCACAGGGATTCCACAACCACCCTATCCCAAGGTGTGAGAGAACCACCATGTTTGTAATAGTTTCTTGAAAGTCATTAGGCTGGGAGTTATAAGGATCTCTTGGGACAATGTCTTTCCAGAGGGCAGACACCACAACAAAGGACATTGTTTAATCAATGGGATCTAAAGCATGCCCCATTCTGCCTGATCTTACCTGACAGGTAGAAGCATTCGGAGACAAGCCATCCCTCAAGCAGCCAGGCCCTATGCCATGAAGGGCTTAGTAACCAGCATCTTGAATTGCATCCAGAAATCAACCAGTAACCAGTTCAGCTAGTGAAGCACTGGGGACATTTCATTGCACTGAAAGAACTGAGAGGGCTTCTTCTCTGTTCTCCTCATAGTATTAATTTGCTTTCAGTTTTGATGCAACATAAACTTTCATGGATTAGTGTTCACTTCATTAGATATATTTTATCTGGAGAAGTATATGGACATAAAGGCACACAAAAATTCAGAGGGAATGGAAAAAAGTAAGCAGAGCAGCCAAAAGACGGTGAAATGTAGGAAATCTATCAGATTTCTATGCATATCTTATAGATATTTTAGCTTTGCATAAAAACCATCTCCCCTTTTCTCTTTATTTTTATATGTGTCGGGGATATACAGACTGGCAATGTTATTCCTATAAAAACTCTGCTTGTTGCTCACAGTAGTATTCTCATAATCTGTCATTCATTTTTGTTTCAGTCTCATGAACCATCTAAAACTATACCATGAATCAAAAGTAATTACCAGCCATAAAAGACTAATGCTTTAGTCACTAATAGAATGAACAGTACTTTTCCTTCATCCCTAAATCCAGAGTTTGGCCGAACTCCTACTGACAGATTACCTTCAAAACTATCTGAATTAACTACTTAGTGAATTTTCAACAAAAAATAGTTTCCTTCCACTGCTAAATGTCTCTTCCCATGTTGTTTATTATAAAAAGCAGAATCACCAGTATCATAGGTCAAAAATTTACCAGGTTTTTCCCTTTAGGAAGTTCCTTTATATCACAAGATTTTGATCTAGAGCAAAAGGAGCTGTTTAAAAGACAAGGAGAACTGCAAACCAAGATATGTTTTAAATAGCCCCTCTGGCTCTGCTTGGCTTCACCCTATGTAATATTCACCAGCTTCTGCTTTCACTCTGACTCACAGGATGGACAGGGAGGGGGAGAAGATAGGATAGGAGGTCTGAAGGAAGGGCAGTGAAAATCAGTGTGGTGCAGTCATTAAGGTATTCAACTAGGACCAGGGAGACCCAGGTTCAAGTTTCCCCTTAGCCATGGAAACTCACTGGGTGAATTTAGGCCAGTCACCCAAGCTACTTCACAGGGTTGCTGTTATGTGGACAAAATGAAGATCCCCATGTAAGTGGACTTGAATTTCTCTTGGAGGAAAGGCAAGAAATAAATCAATAAATAAATGAATAAACCAGTAGAAATACAGAAAGCAGAGAAATCCTATGCATGATTACCCAGAAATGTGTTCAGTATTGTCAGAACTATGGTTCAGGAATAAACAAAAGCAAAAGATTTTAAGATTCATCCAAAATGCAAATGGATAAAAGAATAGCTAGAAATTGTCACTGTAAATTGGCCTTTAAGGAGTTGTACTTCCTTTCATATAATGTTAACACTTTGAATAAGAGTATTCTTGATTTCTCCTTGTTCCATTATGAATTCCTGTGCGTTTTTGACATCAGTGGAAAGATTACATTGGGAAATTTTGGCTGTTTTTTACAAATATTTTCTTGACTCCTAATAAGAGTATTCTTGATTTCTCCTTGTTCCATTATGAATTCCTGTGCGTTTTTGACATCAGTGGAAAGATTACATTGGGAAATTTTGGCTGTTTTTTACAAATATTTTCTTGACTCCTACAATAAAAAATATGCATTTTAAAACAAATAAAAAAGAGAAGGAAGAGAAGAAGAAAGTGAATAAAATATGCATTCAGGCTGTGCATTATTTTAGATTCTAAGTGCTGGGATGCTTATGTAGCACCTATAAGCAACTCCTCAAAGCAACTCCTGGTAATCCTCACTTAGCTACTGCCTCATTTAGTGACCGTTCCTAGTTACAATAGAGATGAAAAAGT